CTAAGTAATAAAATTCGTTATAAAAACTATAATGACTTCCGTAAAAGAAATAAAAAATATTAATATCTATTATAATAAAATTAGTAAACTTTCTTCTAGTTTTTAAAAACTTTCAAATAGTAATTTTAGTGCTATTAAATGCAATTAAAAAATTTAAGCAATCTTCTTCAACCCTTATACTCTTAGAGAGCTAGAATTGCAACGTTTAAGAATCGTACGCGGATTGTATCTACTCGCTAAAAAGTTAAAGAGGTTCTTATAAAGAACTAAAGAGGTTTTTGGCTATATTAACGTTGTTTGTTAGCATCTTTCAATACTTTCGCTGCTGAGTCGATCGACCGGAAAACCGGCGATTTTGGGAGTATTCAAGTTTTTGCGAGTGTTCCAGCGGAAGTACTAATACTTGGCGCCAAAACTGTAGGTTGTAGGAGGAAAGATGTTTCCACACCCTCGCATGAAGGGCAAGCACATCCTTGGAGAAAGTAGGGGATTGATGAGCTGCCGAGATACCTACATGCGATGAACTGTTTCACATCACAAGGGTCGGCTGCCTGGCTGCCTAGGCACGATATCGCTCCATCCGGAGGAAAAACCTGAAAAGGTTGACTCATTCCTGCAAGGCAAGTCAGAACTCGAGGTAACGGCAGCACAGCTATTCTGGTCATCTGCCCCGTTTCTCGCTGCTAAGTTGGCTTTTCCTTGTTCACGAAGCATATGAACACTAGAATCGGCCGGTCAACCTGCATATTGAAAGTTTCATCACAGTCGTTGGTATGCGATCCGGTAGAGCCGAGTCGACGATGAATAACGTTCCATGAACACCGGGAAATTCCCATCTCATTCGAAACGGTCTAGAGCCCAGGGCGGAAGATTGGAAAAACGATGGTGTGGGAGAAGCGGCGCGAGGCCTCGTTGAGGGGTGGCCTTGGGAGGCTCAACCCTTGACTTGTGATGGAGGTGAGGGGCCGAGCAGATGGTCGAAGCCAGGAAACCGTGGAGCTAGGGAGCCAGGTGGTGTGGTGATGCATTGCAGGTGGAGCGGCAAGGATGAAGGCGATTACAGTCATGTCCCCTGCTCTAGCAACCCCAAAAATCTGGCCCAAAGGGTTGCAATTATAGGGGGTGTTGCTGTAAGTGGTATCGTGCACAGACCACACCTTCTCTGAGCCGCCTAAAAAAATGCACTAAAAGTGGCTCGCCAAGCAAAATCTGCCCTCTAACATCCCCGCGTTTTGCATTTCACCATACAAATTTGGAGCAACCCCCTAGATCTGCTGTTGCTAGTTGCTGAATTGCGCTTTTCCATAGTAAAAAGACGAATTTCCTTCGAGGTGTTGCTACAACAGGGGATGTTGCTCGTAATGAGGGTTGTTCGAACAGGGGACCTGACTGTAGCTGCAGTTGGACTTGGCATCACTCAGGCAGATGCTGATTGGTATGTTGTCTGCAACAGCGGCAAACAGCTGACGCAGACTGCAACCTGCAAATCACGAACCCCATGAGATTCAGTTGACGACACCCCGTCCACAACCCACACTCCCACTGCAGCGACCTCCACCACCACGGCGTGGCAGCCGGGGTTGTCAACCCCAGCTCTCCATGCGGACTCCAACCCTCGGAACCTTGAAGTGGACGTCCCTTGTGAGCGAGTGTTCTGATTGTGGGACCTCTGGGTTCCCTTTATCCCGCGTGGCCCGCGTGGGTAAACTTCATCCAGGTATCCTCATCCGAGATAGCAGAACACAAGCTGACATGTGGTAGTCAGGTCATCAAGAGGCTGATGCGGAGGCCAGTGCCAAATATCTCATCTTCGGAAAGAAATCAATAACTTTGGGTGCATGTCAGCATCAGCGCTCAAATCTGCCATATGCTCCAGAAAGCAGATGCCAATGTCATACAGAAAGATGTGAGCGGAAACTCTGCATGTGAGAGAATACAACGGTAAGCGAGAAAGGCTGGTAACGTTGCCCTGTCATAAAATCAATTTTTCTTCCATCCTCACTATACGTACGCTAGGTACTCGTCAGGGCTTGCAACAGTCTATCTAGGATGCCATCGCCTACTTTCAACGGCCAAAGCAACTTATCGAAGAACCTTGGAGGAACATATAACTTGATACCTGAAGGTTTCCCTCGAGTATCCCGCCACATAACAGAAACTTAAGTCCAGTATCCGAAGGCATACATACGCCATCTATTTTATGGTATCGAGAAGTAAGCAGCCCAACTGGATTTGGAAGTACACACGGTAGGTATTCGATAAATTCCAGGACCCTAGCATCAGCGGTCATAAGCCTGCACCCTCTTCTCATGATGGTGCGTCTACACTACATATGCAACTCTTGTGCATATTTTGGCTGCATGTCCCAACATCCCTCGCTGATCCAGTGGCTCGTCGCCCAACATCGGAAAGGAATCATTGGAACGGCACCGCACGGCACAATGGATCTAACATTTGACTCTTCGTTTCTTTTGCTCTCCCGCACTTCTGGAAAATCAAGCCTTGCTCGCTTCTTCCCCCAGTCATCCCTTATAGCTACCCCATCTTCCAAACTGGTACCGCGAGCTGTTAGTTGCGGTTGCCGCGATACCCTCATAAAAAGCAGGGTGGAGTTGAGCAGATCTAGGCCAAGATGCTGTACCAGTGTAGTGTACCTACGTTAACCATCTTATGAGCATCTGTCCGGATACCACTGTACTGAATTGGGGTAAGATTTGCGCGAGTGATGGACCGGTTCTATCACACACTTCCATGATGTTAAGCTTCTGTCGGCATCATATCCTATCATGATCTCGTCTTTGCTATTTTTGGCATTTTCAAGGCAAAGAAGCAACCTCAACGTTCGCCTGACGGACCCAAAATCGTCTCCCCTACTGTGTCTTTTTCTCCGATGGTCCTGGCCAGACCAAAATGACCTTGGCTATACTTTGCATGACCAAAGTTGGTTGTAACAACGAGCACTAGTCTAATCTCCTAGACGGAAAAAATGACGAACGAACCGACAAGCCAAGAAAACCTTGGAAGTGTACGCCTCTTGCATCGAGATATCTCAGACTAGACAAGCCTTCCATTACTATTCCCATGGGTGGAATGCAAGAATCAAAGGGATATCGTGAAGCCTGCGGTACCACGAAGCACAGACTGCCTGCTAGTCCACCAGTGCGGTTCGGTCTTAAAAGGATGTTAGTAAATGGGTTACACCCGACTTGACCGACCTAGCGACCCCCTTCCGCTCCCCCCTCCATCTCAACAACCCCTCCCTAGCTACTTCATAGGCGAGACCAGTGCAGCACATCTTGGTGCACACACCTTCAAGCCTCTACGTACCATTTCCACTAACATTTTCGTCACATCCTGACAATCTTAGAATGCCCCAAGTCCATGTCTCAAGTCTTCCTGGAAGCGAGGGAGTTCCGCAGGCACCGCACGTCTTTGGGTTGTGATGCATCCCATCCCCTAGTCACAATCTGGAAAAAACGGCCGGTTGAAAGGGCGAGTGCAGATCATATGATCCAGGGTCGATTTTGTTAATTTGAACTGCGCAGAAATCAAGCCAAACGGCCTACCTATGGTGACCGATTCCCCAAAACTTCTCTTACAAAAAGCTGTAAAGTGTCCGAGCGGATCGGTAAGAAGAATTCAACGCAGATAGATCAAAGGGCCGACGTTACGGGGTCAAGGGGCCCACCACCACCACCTGCCTCGCTCATATCAGACCGATGTGCTGGTCGTGTAACACGAAATACATACCGAGCAAGCACATGCAGATGATATTGGCAGTTTGTCGGAGTTCTACTGTATATAAGATGTGTGACATGATGGGGGCATGCATGACCGGCTCAGCAGGTCTTGTGGATGGATGGGTGGGCGGATGGATGACGAGCTCGATAACGGCTCTACACTATGGGGCTGATATGATGGAATGCTGCTTCTTGATATCGATTCACCTTGGTGCGACCATATTGTCAGTCAAGACCGAGGAGACAACCGGGGAAAGAAGAGCAGAACGGGCAAGTGGAGGTCAATCCCGTCCTGCCTGCCACTCATGGCCTCTCAAAGTCGGAGATGTCTGAACGGACACGGGTAGCTGAGCTGAGTAGGTCTATAGAAGATAAAGTCACAGTTTTCATGCTGGATAACACTCTCCTCAATCTATCATTGACGGATTGCCCGATAGGATCAAGCATACCGCATTACAGCCAGATCTGATCTGATCTGATCTGAAAAGGCCAAGAGACTCTGCGTTCACAACATTCACACGGTAAGCCCGATAGATTATGTGCAACATGTGTCTCTTGCGGTATAAGCCATCTATTTCTAGGCTTGGAGGGCGTGTCGGTCAGGGCGATTTCATATCCCCATGTCTCCACGTTTCTCTACACTTACGGGTGCGTGCTTGCTGGGGGCCGCTACCTATGTGGGTGCAGGTATAAGGTGCCCAAGTCTGAAGTTCGAGATGTACAGCTCAAGAGAGAGAGTGTGGTGTCTGGAGTACCTAACCGGGTCGGCTTTTAGGTGCCCTGTACCCTACCTGTATGTACGCTGTAGAGCTGTAGGGAAGTGAGGTGTGTGTGAGTGGGCCGGTAGCCGGCCACCGAGATGAGATGATTGATGGTGATGGGATGGCGGAGAGAGACGAGCGGCGGGAGCGTCCGCCGTTGTCACTTGTTGGGGAGTGCACATGTCGCCCTGTATTTTTGGTATGTAATGTGGATGTCTTGGTGTGTAACTTGGAGCAGCCGAGCAGGTCCCAGTGGAGCGGCTGTGAGGCGCGTCTAAGTCAAGCGCAGATCGGCCGCTGATTGGCCGGACAGGCGCCCCCACCTTTACCTAAGTCCTGGTTCAATAGTGCAGGGCAACCACTTTCCATCGTCCATGCGGCGGCAGTGGCAGCCATCGCCAAAAATTCCATCTCCAAATCAACAAACAACGAAACTTTTCTTGCGCCCTCTTGCAGTACCGCCCCGGCCGCCTTCGACCCGACGGCAACAACTGCAACCATGGCCAGCTTAAAGAGATCCTTCGAGTCCGACCCGTTCGCCCAGAACATTTCGAGCAAGGTCTACGTGCGCTCGACCAAGAGTGGCAAGGTGCAGAAGATTGTGCGCGAGGTCTACCTCCGTCAAGATATCCCCTGCTCGTCCAAGCTCTGCAATTCCTGCCTCAAGATCGCACCCAGAGATGCCGCCAACCGGCCGATTCCCTTCGTCCTCTCCGAAAAACCCGCCGGCACCAGCGTCTTCACACAAGGCCACTACATCGTCCCCGACACCAATGCCTTCCTCAGCGCCATGGACCTGTTCGAGCAGAGCTCCGCCTTCTACGATGTCGTAGTCCTACAGGTTGTTCTCGAGGAAGTCCGCGCCCGCTCGCTGCCGCTGTACAACCGACTCATTAGCTTGACCAAGAGCGAAGACAAGCGATTCTACGTCTTTTTCAACGAGTTCCGCCTTGAGACCTACGTCACCCGCGAAGAGGGCGAGTCCGTCAACGATCGCAACGACCGCGCCGTGCGCAAAGCCGTTAAGTGGTATAACGAACATCTCTCCAAGACATCCAAGAAGGCACCCGCCGTGGTTATGCTGAGTAATGATCGCGACAATCTGCGGAAGGCCAAGGAGGACGACATCCCGGCCTACTCTCTGGCGGACTATGTCAGACAGCTCAAGGATGGCGATCAGCTTCTGGACATGATCCCCGAAGTGGAGGAGCGTGATGCTCTTATCGAAAAGAAACCCGGACAGTTCCTTTACCCCGAATACTACACACTGTCCAAGATGAACACGGGCGTCAAGAATGGCTTGTTGCACCAGGGCATCTTCAACGTCTCGCCTTACAACTACCTGGAAGGCTCCATCAGAGTCCCTGCGTTCCCCAAGGCGCTACTAATACTGGGCAGAGAAAACATCAACCGCGCTGTTGACGGTGACTTGGTTGTGGTGGAAGTTCTGCCAAAGGACCAGTGGAAGGAACCCTCAACCAAGGTCATTGAGGAGGAGACTGTCACAAAGAACGAGAACCCAGACACAGAAGAGGGATCGGACCTGATCTCAGAAAAGGAGCGCAAGGCGCTGCAAGAAGAGGCGAAGCGGACGTTGGCCAAGACCACCGAAGGCCATGCTCTGCCAACCGCAAAGGTTGTTGGTATAATCAAGCGGAACTGGCGTCAGTATGTCGGCCATATCGACCAGTCTTCAGTCAGTTCGTCAGGGCAAGGGCGGAAGCAAGACAGTGTTTTTGTTATCCCGATGGACAAGAAGATTCCCAAGATCCGTCTACGCACCAGGCAGGTCGCCGAGCTCCTTGGAAAGAGGATTCTCGTCACGATCGATGCTTGGGACAGGACATCTCGCCACCCGACCGGTCACTTTGTCCGGTCTCTTGGTGAGCTCGAGACGAAGGCTGCTGAGACAGAGGCTTTGTTGCTTGAGTACGATGTTCAGTATAGGCCCTTCCCCAAGACTGTCCTTGACTGTCTCCCCAAGGAGGGTCACGATTGGAAGGTGCCCGCAAGTATGGACGACCCAGGATGGAGAGACAGACAGGACCTCCGGGACCTTCTTATCTGCAGTATCGATCCTATCGGTTGTCAGGATATTGACGATGCGCTCCACGCTCGCGCTCTTCCTAACGGCAATTTCGAGGTTGGTGTGCACATTGCTGATGTGTCCCACTTCGTGAAGCCCAACAATGCCATGGATACCGAAGCCAGCATTCGTGGCACAACTGTCTACCTGGTCGATAAGCGTATTGACATGTTGCCTATGCTGTTGGGTACTGATCTCTGCTCGCTCAAGCCCTACGTCGAGCGTTACGCTTTCTCCGTCATCTGGGAGATGAACTCCAACGCCGACATTGTCGGCTCGAGGTTCACCAAGTCGGTCATCAAGTCTCGTGAGGCCTTCAGCTACGAGCAAGCACAGCTCCGCATCGACGACGCTTCGCAACAAGACGAGCTTACCAACAGCATCCGGACGCTACTTGAGCTCTCCAAGAAGCTGAAGCAGAAGAGGTTGGACGCCGGTGCTCTCAGTCTCTCGTCCCCCGAGATCAAGGTCCACATGGAGTCCGAGACTTCCGATCCCATTGACGTCAAGACCAAGGAGCACCTGCCCACCATGTCTCTCGTCGAAGAGTTCATGCTTCTCGCCAACACCAGCGTGGCCGCCAAGATCTACGAGGCCTTCCCGCAAACCGCCATCCTCCGTCGCCACGCGGCCCCGCCCAAGACCAACTTCGACGAGCTCGCCAACCAGCTGCGCGTCAAGAAGGGTCTCGACCTCTCCGTCGAGTCCTCGCGCGCCCTCGCCGACAGCCTCGACCTCTGCGTCGACCCCAAGGAGCCTTTCTTCAACACGCTCATCCGCATCATGGCCACGCGCTGCATGATGTCCGCCGAGTACTTTTGCTCCGGCACGCAATCCTACCCCGAGTTCCGCCATTATGGTCTCGCGTCCGAGATCTACACCCATTTCACCTCGCCCATCCGCCGCTACGCCGATCTGATGGCCCATCGCCAGCTCGCCGCCGCCATTGAGTACGAGGCCGTCCACCCGGCCGTCCGCTCGCGCGGCCGCCTCGAGGCTGTGTGCAAGAACATCAACGTGCGCCACCGCAACGCGCAGCTGGCCGGCCGCGCATCCATCGCTTACTACGTCGGTCAGGCTCTGCGCGGTAAAGCCACGGAGGAGGACGGCTTCGTCATGAAGATCTTCAGCAACGGCTTTGTGGTGCTGGTGCCGAGGTTCGGCATCGAGAGCTTGATTCGCCTGCGCGACCTGGCGGAGCCGGAGCCGGCGGCGACGTACGACGCTGAGACGTACACGCTTACGACGTCGGGGAGCAGGGAGGTCAAGGTGGAGCTGTTCCAGAAGGTTAGGGTCAGGGTGACGGATCAGAAGGATGAGACGACGGGGAAGAGGGGCGTCAAGATGGAGCTTGTTAGTACTTATTAGTAGTAGGATGATGGAAAAAAGTTTGAGTAGAGTAGAGTAGGTCGGGTACTATTTGGGAATACCCGTGATGATGGAATTTTGTAAAGCAATAGATGGTTTTGATGATTTCAATTCTCGACACATTCGCGATATCACTGCGGCTTGTGGTTATACAAGTACATTGTTATTGCCTTGTGAGCTAGCTACCGAACAACATGTTTGACTTAGCGGTGACTCGGGAGGAAGCCAGATGCATCCATCTTTCAGGATGTTTAGCAAAAGTAGATTGACTAGCAAGTCACGGCCTCAAGTCTTTTTGTTAGAAAAGGTATACATAATCAGACTATATTTGACCTATACTCTGCCTGCCTGCCTGTCATCCTTTTGGTTCTTTCCCACCTTGACGCCAAAACGCCTCTTCACAAGGATGTGTCCAGTTCCGGGGTGTTCGTTGTTGGTTGTCTTGTCATGTTTCTGTGACATTACAGAAGAAACAACAAACATGCTAACTCATTACCGACATTGACCAACCAAAAGAAAAGAAATGCTCATCAACAACAACTGACTAGTGTGAACAGACAAAAAGAGGGGGGGGGGAATAAATCGCTTTACTGCATCTCAACATCGGGAGTCGCCGTCTCCTCCTCGTCTCCCCAGAGACCCTCCAGCTTGAACTCCTTGGCCCACTCGGTCACGATCACCTTCTGATCCGCTGGCACCTCCTCAGCGCCAGCAGGCTTACCGCTAGCAGCAGGAGCAGTAGCAGTGGCGGTACCAGCCACGGCCAAGACGGGAGCGTCGTTCCAGCCCTGGATACGGCCATCGCGCCAGTCGGTCACGACAGTCATGGCAGCGGCCTGGATGTTGGGGATACCACCACGTCCGAGCCTGCCGCGCTTGCGGGCCACCTGGACGAGGAAGTCCATGGTGGGATCGCCGTTCTTGGGGTCGCGGAGAAGAGGAGGGAGATCGTACACCTTCATCATCTTCTCCATCAGCTCGGAGCTGTGTGACAGGCGCTTGAGCAGCAGCGTCACGGCGGGGACGGGGTCCTCGATCTGCTTGGGCGGGATGGCGTTGAGGAGCACCAGGTGGGCGTGCGCCTCGGTCTGGTTCTTGGGCGTGAAGGTCGAGTTGCCGGCGGTGGAAGGGAAGACGATACCGGGCGAGTCGAGCAAGGTAAGCTTGCTGTCGATCTTGACCTGGCGGATCGAGGTGGTGACACCGGCCTCGGCACCGGCCGGGCAGGCGTTGTGCTGGCCACGGCTGTTGCTGAGGCGGGAGAGCAGGGCGTTGATGACGGATGACTTGCCCACGTTGGGGTAGCCAATGACGCCGACCTGGATGGAGCGCTTGAGGTTGCGCGAGACGGCGTACGACTTGAGCGCACGGAAGAGAGCCGCACTGGTGCTCTGGACGGTGATGTCGCGGTGCTGGAAGGTGTGGGCGTTGGGAGCAGGGTTGGAGGCGCGCAGCGGCAGCGTGGGGAAGTAGCGGCGCAGGTGGGTGAGCCAGCCGCGGAGGACCGCGGGAGGGATCAGATCGACCTTGTTGAGGATGAGGATAAGACGCTTGCCACCGTGGGCAGCAGCCATGACGGCACGCTCGACGTCCCTCGAGCGGGTGCCCTCGGGGTCGCGGGCGTCGAGGACGTAAAGGATGACATCAGCCTGCTCGACGACCTGCTTGAAGACCTTGTCGAAGGCCTTGCGCGAGGAGGCACCGCCGGGAACCTCGATAACGCCGGACTGTGTGGTTTCGCCATTGGACTCGTCGTCGGACTCATCGTCATCGTCCATCTCATCGCCGCTCTGGAGCTCGCGGTCGTACTTCTCGGCAGCTTTCCTGGCGCTGGCAACCAGGGCAGCAAGGGGGTTCGACTCGTCCTCACTGCCGTCCTCCTCCATAGCATCGTCCTCGTCCATCAGGTCGTCATCGAACTGCTCGACATCGCCGTCAGCGTCGGTCTTGGTGTCCTGGCCGGTCTTGGCCGCCTTGGCCATCTCACGACGCTTCTGTTCCTGCTCCTTTCTCCGGATGCGGTCCTCCTCGATCTGGTTCAACAGCTTCTCCTTGTAGGGGAAAAGGTTGGGGATACCGGGGTCCTTCTTGAGCTTGGAGCGCCATTCTGGGTTCTTCTTGGCGAGCTTTCTCGTCTTTCTCTGCTTCGCGGCCGAGGCCTTCTGGATCTTGTTCCTGAGGCGCGTGGGGGTGCGCTTCGATGTCGGCTCTGTTTGTTGGGCGTAAGGTTAGTTGAATGAATTTGATTGGAACAATGAAGTGCTGAACTGTGAAGACTGGACTGACTTTTGGGTTTTGTTATCGACGGCATTTTGAAGATATGATGATGCTCCTGGAACTAGTGTCAAAAAAGGATGGACAAGGAGGAAGGAGAAAGGAGGATGAATGGGACAGCAAGGTTAAAGCAGCAAAACCGGTCGCTACTATGGGCGGCTGTACTGATTGATGGCTGTTAAAAATTATAGTGGAGGAGCGGTTTGTGCCACGGCTGACCGCCTAGATAAACTCTGATAAAGCAGGGGTCCGCCGTGTTAGGATCCACCAAGATCCAGAAGTCCCCGCTTTTGATGTGGGGTTACGCGTGCCTGTAAGTTACCGTCGTATTGTATGTTCAAGATATGTTTCATCGAACATGAAATATAAGTTACAGAAATGTTATTGCCCGTGATTGCGCCTGTTCAATTACCAATAAGAAATACTAATGATATATTGCTACTCTCTACGCAAGTAACTTGCATTGCCTCTCCAGAAACAAAACTTTAGGCCGGTCCGTCTCAAAAGTCAAACGCTTGTCTGCCATGACGATCCTCAAATCCATCGGTCCGTCTCTCAAGATGCAGTTCCGAATGCCATCAGTCCCGTCATCGAGCACTTGTTCATACCACACATGAACGTTGTACACCCTCTTGAGTGTTTGAATCATTATCGATTCAACGGAGCACCATGCTCTCTCATGTAGCTGATTGTCGCTTAAACTGATAATGGCATTGCATTGTGCAATGATCATTGGCAGAGCAGACACTCCTGACATAGGGTCGTCTTGGTCGACGCAGACAAAGTCCTGAACCAGAAGAAGCATGTTAGCATCGAACACAGAGCCAAAAAGGGGGGTGTAGGTTAACATACCACCCAGACACCAAGCCTATCCCGATTTACATGGGGGTGCATCTTCAAAAACTCTTCCGTAGCCGCAATCATCCGTCGATACTGGGTGTGTTGGCGGTCATCCGGTGTCTTTGCGTTGGCCTCCTTGTTAATCCATCGGTAGGAGAAGAATATCAGATAGTCTGCTGAGCTTTTGGGATCACTATTATTTCCAGGGGTCTTCGAGACCTTGAACTCCTGAACCAAACCGTCGCTTGACCGTGGGAATCTGCCAAAGGCCAGAAAGTCCGAGTACGGCACAAACTTTAGGACGTCAAACATAGCTTTCTTATCAAGATCTTCAGCTAATGACTCTGCATAGACCCGTCGGAGTTCTGATATAGATCTATCCGGATCGCCGCCTCCAGCAAGAAGGACAGGTCGCAGCCGCTCTTGGAACAGCTCCCGATATCCCTTGCGGAGCTTTGACTCCTTGTGTAGCAGGCTCAAAGTGTTGAAGTCCTCCATGCCTCCGGATTGGCGGCAAAGGCCTTCAAGGACGATGTCTTGCGCCTTAGCATCTCCGGCAAAAGTTGCGTAGTCAAGCGCGTTATAGCCGTGGCCATCAGTGACGCTCATGTCCGCACCGGCATCGATGAGCTCCCGCAGGTACTGGCGATGTTCGTCAGAGGGTTCCTTGCAAAAAGCAAGGGCAGGCGTGCATCCGTCATGGGAATTGAACTGTTGCAAAGCCGCATCTCGCTGTCCATCGAGTAGAAGTGCCCGTCCGTAAAAGAAACGGCCCATGGCCACTACATTCACGTCCTCGAACGTCCGAGCCAGTATCAGGGCTTCGAACGCAGCACGAACTGCCTTCTTTGCGTCTCCTCGTGCTGAATGGCAAAGAGAAAGACGGGAGAGACCGATGGTTTCCCAAGTTATTGCATCCTTCAACCACTGTTCTCTTGTAGCACCATCCAGATCTTGCGAATCGATTGTATCCTTGATTTGCCGAGACCGTTCAACGCGTTCAAGTAGCTGATCTGTCGCTAGTTTCAGCAACGACTCGTCCTGACACTTTTGGGACAATTGATAGTTGACCATACCGAGGTTTCCAATCGGCCGGCAAGCGAAGCGCTCTGCCTGGAACTCCTTTGCCGTTTCGTACTGGATCCGCAAAACACGCTCTGCATCATCCAGCAGGTCCATGTGCCGATAGATGACACCAAGCTCGCCAGAGGCTTCGATCCGCAACTCACTCGACGCTGTCATAGCCATTGCTTGCTCGAGAAAGTCCTTCGCCTGCTCATACTTGCCAAATCGTCTGTATGTGCCACCGAGCTTGGTGAAAACGAATTGCTTGTAACGGTCACCGTTCGGGATCGCACTAGAAGCAACCCCCGATTCGCAAAGAGCAAGCGCACTGTTGAAGTTACGCAGCGCCATCTCCAGGTTTCCGCTACGGGTGTACTGTTGCCCTTCTTCCATCAACCTCTCAAAGGAGCGGACTGCCTCCACCATGTTGGCGAGCGAACAAGGTGGCTGGCTTCCCACGTCCCGATATTGCTTGTAGGATTCCCCATCCGGAGGCCCAAGCACCGGGGCATCTTGTATGAATCCACGACTGGAATCGAAGTAGAAGAGGGTCGCGTGCAAAGCGTCCGAAGGCACCTTTGTTCTGTGCAGTACACCGGCTCCGACAGTGTAGCGCATGTCGCGAGTATGGAGGGCGGTCTCGACCTGCTTGATGTGAACAATCTTCCCGGTATTCTCGACGATGGAGTAGGACTGGTGTGGCACATAGGCTGTACCATGGGTTTTCCCCGTGCCGCTCCAGGAGATCCGGTATTGGGCATAGGGCGTGCCCAGCGCACACTTGGCTTCTGGGTCGGTAACAGCATATTGGTGATCGCGGCCCTCGCCTGCAAGGATCCAGCTTTGCGCAAAAGGCTGGTGTGAATGGATAGCGAAGTCTTGATTTCCTCTGTGACCATCCGGCAGCCAAACGTGCAGCCGCCAAAGCTCATCAATCCTGTTGTCTTTGATGAGACTACATAGAGGGACGCTGAGGAAGCCTTGTGCACTACGGGATGCGCCCGGTAGAAGTGGCGCGAGGATTGGGTCGGTAACGGCGTCTCTGACAAGTCCCCATACAAACTCTAGGTCAACGCCATCAACAGGCTGGTTCTGTCGGGCCTTGTGACGCAACACTGCGACGCCGAGTGCGAGATGAACCAGTTGCCACGATGCTTGTGACTCGGGGGAGTTATCTTTTGTTTGAAGAACCACATTATCGAGCCATTCTCTTATCGTGAAGTTGTCCCTCTTTGGCTGAATGCTAAGTCCGATGTTTGAGATGATCGATCGTGCGTGTTCCGCAATACTTTCAGACACCTTTGTGGCAGCGATAGTCCCGGTGATAATCTGGGTGAGCGCCGCGCGAGAGACATCAAGATGTTGAGCATCTTGGTCTTCATTCTCAAGCTTCTCCGTAGTCATGACTGCTGAGAGCGGGCAGATGTCAGCAATGTCATGGAGACAATTTTCCAAACTCTCACTGCGACTTACTGGGATCGGACGAAAAAAGACCACTGAAATTAGCTAGGGGTATCCAAAAGGTAACACAGCGTGAGATCGGGTATCAACCAAAAGTCAAGAAGAAGGACGAGGGCGAGGACAACAGGGTATCTTTTCAGCTGTTCATGGGTTTTTGGATAATGTCAAAGGCAAAAACCCAAAAGCCTGCCCGATGACCAAGAGTCCAAGGCATAATTCCCTTTCGGTTGTAAGCGGCTTCTGACCGTCCATTGTGTCTGAGATGTTACCAATCGTGCCACACCATAAGAGTGCTCAGCCTCGGAGCCTTCCAACTAACGAGGCAGGGCAACGGGCTCAATTGGTTACCGACAGCCTATGTCAAATACGTGGCGACCAACGCCCCGGAAAAGCGGTAAGGGGCATATTGACAAACTTTAATTGCCATTCACTCTTCATTGCCATCCATGTCAGCCTTGAAGATAATCGGCGTTAGCTGCCTGAGGGCTGATCTGATAAGTGTCTTGGTGTGACAAAAGATGGATGGATGGTGTTTACGGGTCGAATGAATGACCTTATCACCGGGGGCCAAGCCAAGCCCCCATGTGGTTTGGGGTCCCCCGCAAGGCGGCCGCTGTCGGGATAACGAATGCCGATGCGGTGCGAAAGGGTTAGGGTTCAAGCCGTCCTTGGCTACCGATGCGGTCCGCCAAACACCGAGTCATCCACGACGTCTGCCGTGACTCTTGACAATCCGGCCCCGTGCCAACCGATTCGACCGCCGCAGCTGACTGTGTCGCTCGCCCTTGAATCACTTTGGATTATTTACATAGCTCAGACAATAAGCTAGTCCGTAAGGAAAAGCAAGTTCAAGGTATGATCAAACCCGCCATGACTAATCGGCCAAGTTCCGCTTTTATGCTTCCAACTTGAGTGTCCCATCTTAAATCCGCAATGCGCAACGAGGGAATTATGCTGAATTTGTTACTGACGGTTAATCTTCGACCATATTGTAGGCACAATGGGAAGAACCATCATAGATACAATGGGCGCGGACTTCTCCGCGCCGCCTGTTCAGGTCACATTCGATGGCCTCCTGTTCGACATGGATGGCACCATCATTGACTCTACTGCCGCTGTTGAGAAACACTGGGAGGCGTAAGTCTATCTTTCTCAAGTTGATACTTCGATAATCAGTGGTCATGTCCATTTTCATGACCCCAACGTGGAGATACAGTCGAGTGTCTGTCCAGCCTTGGGAGATGCAGACGGGCATAAGGCAAAACGAAGAAGATGGGATCCCATATTGCCTATCCATTCCTCATTTTCAGAGACTTGCACTCGTATTGACCATTATTGAGACTTACTGACACCTTTCCAATGTACACGTAAACAGCATCGGCAATGAGATCGGGGTCTCGCCCGAGGTCATTCTCCAGTAAGTCAATACCACCCACCACCACCACCACCATTTCACCTCCCAGTCACTCAACGATTACCCAAGTTTGTCGACTGACAACTGCTTCTCCTATACTTTAGAACCTCCCATGGCAGAAGATCCATTGATATCCTCAAAGAGCTTGCCCCGGAGAAGGCAACCATGGAGTGTAAGTTAGCTTGAAGTTCGGGCCGGAAGCTGACCTGCACCATGTCAGCCAAAACCAGGAGACAACCAGAACTAACAACACCGAGCCATACCAGACGTCCAATACATGGAAGGCCTTCTCCCTAAGAACTATGGCGATGACGCGGTCGAGATTCCCGGTGCCCGCACCCTTCTCCAGGAGTTGATTGACCGTAAGAAGCCATGGGCCATTGTTACTTCCGGGAGCCTGCCGCTTGTTTCTGGGGTAAGTGATTATGCTTTTGTTACGCCTGGTTTACTTCTCCCATTGATATCGGTCACTCACTCAATCACTGTTCCGTCCGTCTTCTTCACTCTCACATTCTTGCCCACTTGCACATCTCACTCCACAGAAACCTCTCTCATTTGCCATCCATCTTGATGCCGTTTCTTTCAAGTCAATCGCCTCTTCACTCGTGTTCTTTGTTGTCAAGGATCCTCTGTTACTCCGTCCAGTTCATTCACTTCCTCGTTCAACTTGCCGCACTTCTACAAATGTCATTTTGTTAGAGGCCCTGTTGCTATCCCGCATCTGCCCGTTGCACTTACATTCCTGGACATTTGTTTACACACTCTGCTACACGCGCACTCGTCTATACATCCGTCGAAATGCACTTCTCCACACACTCTTCTGCGCAGTTACCTTGGATGGTTTACGCTTCTTATTCTTTACGCACCCGTCCCATCACTCTCCTACATCTTCTCTTACGTTCTTCCTGCACTATATACCTACTTGCCCTTCCCTTATGGTCATTGTCCTCAAGCATCACCATTCTGTCTATTGTGTCATTCTTTTCACCCGCCCTTCTATAACCACTCACCCACCTTGAGCTATTCCCAGTTTCATCTTTCATCCATCTCTTTCCCCACCGTTCACTCCTATGCTGATCTCTTCCCCCATCTCTCTCTCTCACATGCTCCCCATACCTCTTACTCCGTTCTCAACCGCTCGCTCGCGATGATAAACCCACCTCAACTATCACTATCACCCTTCCAAAAGCCCTTCCAACTCATCAACCGCTCAAGCTAACCTTTGTCCCCCCCCAAAACAGTGGCTAGACGTCCTCTCCCTCCCCCATCCCACCCACCTCATCTCCGCTGAATCCGTCCAAAACGGCAAGCCCGATCCCGCCTGCTACCTCCTCGGCCGCGAGCGCCTGGAGCTCTCCAGCCCCAACGCCGAGGTCCTAGTCCTGGAAGACGCACCGGCCGGTATCCGCGCCGGCAAAGCTGCAGGTTGCAAGGTCATTGGTCTGGTCACGAGTCACACGGTCGAGCAGGTGGTGGAGGCCGGACCGGATTGGGTGGTGAGGGATCTGAGCAGCGTGAGGTATGTGGAGAGTGAAGACGGGAAGGTTACTTTGGAGATTAGGGATGCCTTGGTTTTGATGAACTAGGGCGGAATGACGGAGAAAGCGTTTATTTGGGTCTTGTGAGACCGTGTTGGGGAGGGTCTGGTGTGATCGTGGTAGATTCGGGTAGATTAGATACCTTTAGACTTGGTTGAGTGTCGGAATGAGGCGGGATGTGTTTGTTATCTAGAGGTAGTGAGATGAAAGTTATGTAGAGGTAGAAGGGTTACCTGGTGGCTTATACATAGAAGGAATTGACTATCTAAACCGTCTGGTTGGAATCTGTTTGCAGCAAGCCTTGTGCTCATACAGGTAGGTACCTTCCGAAACACAAACCACTTCCCAGTATATCAAGGTAGCAAGCGAATCTGCTCCGAAGAGAGTAAAATCATTTATATGGGTATTCGATTATAAGAATGAAATGTGCTGAATGCATGTCTGGCCGGTGGCCAAGAGTCAAGAGCGACTGAAAAACTGCACACTGGCCTATTCCATGAGGTTGAGCGAGAGAGGATTGCTCGGCGAGTTGATTATCACTTTTCTTGCTTACCTACGGGAGGCTTGACACGGGTGAGCTGAGATTAACGAGAGGACTTCCTCACTGATTTGCACCACCGATTGAGCACTCTCTTACCTTTACTCTTTCACTGTCGTCAAAGAGAACTAGAAGGAGATAAATACTCCTTGAGCGAGATTGAAGCGCTCTTACTCTCCCACTGTCTGTGAAGTGCAGGTAGGTAGGTAGGGTACACCTGAAGTGAGGTTGAACCTCTCTTCTTCACACTTTCCATCTCTTTTCACATAGCCATATCACGATTTTGGTTAATGCCTAGACATCGTTACACCCACGCCTAAGTAAAGGTAGGTAGACTCGCCTTCCCCTCAAGATGTAGGTACACTGAACTCCCACCCCCGAACTGGTGGACTGGTGTCGTACGAGACAAAAAGCCCCCAACCCAAGGCTCCGTTCATCAGACACCCACCCAGATAGCCAAGACAAGATAATCTCAGGAGCCAGACACGCATACAGGCATCCAGACAAACAGGCATACGAGAGCAAAGACATACATACATATAGATCAGACACACAGGCAGGCAGGCAGAGAGACAGACCGACAGACACACACACAGATTATCAGACACTAGCACAGCTTTACTTTCAAAAAAAATAAGGGTTCAAGACAAGACACACAACTAGAGACGAACCAGAGACGGGAACCAAGACGAACAGGTGTTAGTGTTCCGTAGCCTGGCCTCGCTCATCAGTCTGGTATATCCGCTCCCGACTGGAGTCTAAGTCAATCAGCCTGGTCCAATTTGCGTTCGTTCGCTCGCCTCACCTGGCTGTTTCTCAAATTTCCAAGTAGGCCAGGCAGCTTGTCTCAAGAAAAAGGAAGGATGAGAACAAAGTCAGTCAACCCGGGATTTTGGGGCTCGTTCAGATCATCATCTTCCCTCGAGCCGAAGGCCCCTTTTTGTCAACTCCGGCAGGCGCAACGAAGCTTCACTTGTTTGAATCTTACCTAGCCTTCCCTCATCCAGCTGGTCCATTTCTCAACCGAAACCGAGCTTTCCCGTGATATGTTGACGCTGACGGCATGTCCGCTCGTGTGTCCACCTCACCTCCACACCTCTTTCTCGGTCCTTGGGGAAGGAAGGTCGATTTCGTCAACGAGCAAAGTGAGTAGCCTTTTCATCTTAGTGCCGGATTTCGGTCGGCGAGCTTGATATCTCGGCTGAGTGGCTTGTGGGCACACACCACGTCTCCATTGACAAAACAACCTTCACTCCCCCGTTTTCTTTACATGACATGGCACGATTCCCTTTTCCTTTGTCGCATTTAAAAATTCATGGTTCTAAGCTGATGAGTCCAGAGTGTGGGTTTCCTCTCTGTTCCCACACAACAATCCAAAGCGCTCGACTCGGAGAAACAGCTGTGAAATGTTGTGTGTCACCACACGGTAATAGCTAACTCTTCGTCTTTGGTTTTTCTTTGCTTGCTTTCTTGCTCTCTTGCTTACCTGTTCGCCTACCTACGATCATGAATCCAAGACAGAGAGCAAGACAAGGCAAGAAACAACAGACCCCAGCCACGTACGATGCTCTCTTCTGAACCTAATCTCCTTCCTTGGCCCCCTGGTCTGTTTTTCTGGTGGTCCGCGCTTTCTCAATTCCCGACAAAGTGTCCGCATAAGACTACACCACACATTTTGCAGGGACAAACGAGTAATAAAGCCACTTTTGAGTTTCCAATTTGAGGGAGTCCTTTGTACACTCGATAACTTCTCGACCATCTCGGGTATTCCCTGTACCGACTTGGTACGTGTTCAACTTGAGACGAGTGTAGATCGGTCCTTGTGCAAAGAAAGTGGAACTAGGGGTGGCGAATTACAGACCACATAGTATGGGAAGAAGTGGAAAAGGGACACAACAAAAAAAACTAAATAAAAAAAAACTTTTGCTGCCCATTTTTAAGATGCCGAAACAGAAGGAGAGATTCGGCCGAATCCACAACGGCAGTTGATTTCGCCTCCTCCGCGGGAGGAGGTTACATTCTCACTTATCACAACGAAGTAGAATTTTTCTCTTTGGACCAGCATGTCAGCGAGCGAGCAACACAAAAACACCGCACCGCACCGCAAACTTGCGACAACGTGTAAAGTAGTGTAGTGTAGTGGATAGGGGGAGCTCACGGTAGAAGGTTTGTCAGGAAATTGAGCATCCGCGGCATGACGATGGTCATGTGAGTTGAACCAAAGTTGCCAACAACACCGCGACCGACTCACCCAACCCGCCAGACGTAAATCCTTCAAAGTTCCAACCAAGGTTGCGGTCTACGAGTTCTTACTGCTACCGTGGTTTCCGTGTCTCCCCGCAAAGTCTCTCCCTCTTGCTCTCCAAGATCCCCCCAGGCAAAGCGAGGATCGCGAGCCGCGGTTCGTTTCCGAGAATTGCGAGTCTAATGCCGCCGCTTTCCTATCGTCTTATCGGTAGTCAAGGGTTATCGTAATCAAAGGAACTCACTTCCTTGACCAAAACCGCAAGATGACGACTGGCGTTCCCTCCACTCAATCTCCCGAACGGGGGCCCCGAATGCCCTCACCGCCTGGCTCCGTTCTTCTCCACGACAGTCGGGTCCAGCAAGAAAACGAAAACGACTCTGGTGGTTCCCACAGGGCATGTCGTCGTTTTCCTGTTTTGAGAGCTTCACCCAATCCCTTCCTCCGTACTGTGCAAGGCACCTCGACGTTTACGAAGTAGCGTAGTCACTCTGCCGCTTTCCACTCGAGTCCCATTCCAAGTGTGACACGATGATAGGTGATGGGTAGGCGATCAGCTCTTGGCCTGCTCCTGTCTAACGTGGGTTGAGCTCTTTTTGGCCTCCAGGCCGAGGACGTGAGAGGCAGAGGAGGATACTGATCATCTACCGGTCTCCATCTACCCAGCCGAAAGCCAGCTAACACCCCCGTCCTCATGTATGTAGCTAGCCAGGTATACTAGGCAGCCGAGTTGTCAGGCAGTTGAGGAGAGGTGTGTACACAGCACTGTGTGTCTCCCCTTGTCCAAGTCAGTGTACTTCTTCCCAGCATCCATCATCGGTCGATTCATCGCTCACCACCCAGTCTCCAAAAAGACTCGTCAATGTCCATACCCCCCCGCGTACCCGCCGCTTCGAAGCAGGGAATGTGGGAAGGGGAAAGCTCTCTTATCTGCCATTCGTCAACCGCCTCGAACTCCTTGCTGAAGATGGTGTCATTGGTGACAGTACAGGCATGGCCAATGCGCCAACCTTTGTGGCTTTGTGGGGAGCAACATGAAGGGGGGTAGGTCACATCCGGATACTCCCCCCGAGACAGCACTCAGAGACCGTTTTTCTCCCTCCACCCAGTTGCCCATTTGCTGTCTTTTCTCTCTTTCCTCTCCGCTCTCGATTCTTGGTGCCGAGACAGAGAGTAACACGGGTAAAATACTGTGCTGAGACAAAAAAAATGCGACGAGTAGGGACCAATCGTGTTCGTACATGGATGATATGAAGGCGAGAGGGGGGTCCGTAAGGGGTACAGATACACCAGACCTGACGAAAAGCCAAGGGACAACACCCTACCTCGTGGCTCAAGTTTGGCAAAGGGAAGACCTTCTCTTGTCGTTACCCTTGCTAGCATATCGTTGTGTTTACAGCGGCCGTTGAGCTCTGATTGTCCGCTACAACCCCCGAGTTGTAGAGCAAAAGGTTGATCTAAGGTGTTCTTGTTCTTGGGCTGATGCTGATCCCGATATCCCAGAGCACGAGGTCGGAGCAATCACCTTGCCCCCCGGAGGTCTGAAGCTGATCAGTTGGGCGTTTTTCAACCAGCTGCGTGAGACGGTATCTGTGGGCTTACTGAAGCCCTATCAGGCTACCCTTCGAGCTCGAATTTGCTGGCCACGTTATCCGCTGGAGAAAGCAAAGGGGACCAGGAAAGTCCTCCGGCCAGAACGCAAATTGAGAGTTGCCCCCAAGCACCGTACGCACAAAGGAGTGAAAGCACGGCCGCTAGCCTTCCTCCTTTCTCTCTGCCTGGTCTAATTCGCTGAACAGCGTGCTGTGGATACAAAAAGAGAGACGAAAGGGTGGGAAGAGGGTTGCAGAGCAGATGGACACGGATGGTTGATGAAAAGCCTTGCGCCGTCAGTGTGCTGGTGTTGGTCTTCTAGACTTCCCTAGTTGTCGGCATCGCGACAGTTTTGGGAAATTAAGTCGTCCTGCTGTACCCGTAGGGGGAGTGGCGGTGGCGACATCATTCGAACCCGCAACCTAGGCCCATGCCCGGGATTTTCGTTTCGCCCGCAACACTGTACCATTAGCAAAACGAGCTCATTACCGTTGTGACTTTTCTCAATTGTTATGCGGCTGAAAACTACACTGCCATCTCCACGGCGTATGTCAAATTTCTGTGGAATGCGTGCTTTGGGGATTGCGCTCGAACGATGAATATTGGGTCCCAATAGGCTTTGCGCGTTGATTTCTGTTCATCTGCCCCATAGATGGTAAAGAATTTGCGTTT